TATATATATATATATATATATATATATATATATGACATTTGTTTCATCATTCACAAGTCAAATATGTAAAATTAACATTGTAAAATATAGTGCCTAAAATATTTGATAGTTCATAGTTAGATCACTTTGTCATATAAAGAGGAATAATTGAGACTGGGAGTCGTAGACTTATAGGTCGTAACAAGCCTAAATTAGTCTCAGTGTAATTTCAAAAGAATACCACAATGAAAGAAAAGAAAGAAAGTTATGCGTATAATTGTTTGAGTAATCTAAAAGTTTGAGTATTTAACCTAGTTATATCATTTATTTTAGTCCTTTAAATTTTTAACTCTTAGACTATTAGTTATTCTCTTTTAGTTTTAAATAATTAGTAAAATATAAAATACTAAAACTTAAAAAAGAAGTAGGTAGCCTATGGCCTAACCAACTAGCTCAACCTAAATCTATTTATGACAGGTTTTATGGGACTGGGTTAAAAAGGCTTGTATTTAGTTTGGATTAGTTTAACAGACTTGGTTCATTTTGTTGGTTCTAAATTTAATGGAAGGAAAAAAAAAACAATTTTTCTCGGATTAATTTGATGTCTAAAATCTTAGAGTGTATTATTGTTTTTGTTATTCTTAATTGAGTGATCATTTATATTAATAATTTTGAAATTATTATTATTATTATAACTTCAGTGATATGTTGGTATGGTGGGTTTATTATAATGAATAAATGAGTCTATATTACTTTAAAATAAAGAAAAATCTATATTTATTTTTACTAATTGTTGTTTAATTATTTGATTGAGATTTCAAATAATTTAAAAAAGCACATTGAAATAGAGATAGTTTCTCTCCTCACTCACAAGAGGGTTATTAGATCCAATTTCGTGAGTATCGAGGTAATCTAAAATCTTTATATTAAATATGTTATAAATTAGGAATTATTAATTTAGGAATTAATTATATATTATAATTTTATTAAATATTAAATATATTTTTAGTTCTTAAGTAACTCTTTTTATTAGGTTTAGTCTATGGATTTTGTTGCATATGTATGACACATATGAGTATTTATTTCAAAAAAAGTCTCATTACTTAGACGATTCAGGATTTGAACCTTTATATTTTAAAGAGTGTTTCTAACACTTCCAAAGAAGCAAGTAAAGGGTGTTGGACTCACATGTATGAGAATTGGCCTTGTGAGCTCGTTGTAGTTCAAATTTGTCGATTTGCACCCCCTCCCCCTTTACGCGTGCGAAAAATGGGATCTAAAATTATTTTTATTTTTTATTATATTAAATTATTTTAACTAATTGAGGCAAAATATGACTATTTTTTATGTTTCAATTTAAGTTGTCTGACCTTATTAGATCTAATATTTTATTCTCCAAACGGTCATATTCAGATAAAGTTTATCTCTTAATTTTTGATGGTTTATGGTCATGTTTGGAAAAGGTTTATCCCTTGATTTTTGGACAGTTTACGGGCTTTTCAAGAACTCCGTAAACTCTATAAATAGAGGCCTCCATAACACTATTTAATCGTCCCAAAACACTTCAGCTTTCCTCTCTTCTTTCTCTCTTCTTTCTTCCGGGTCCTCGTCCCTTGCCAGTTCTGTTCCTCAAATTACTTGAGATGACCCTATTGTATCCTGGGGTACTTGCGTGTATACTACAAATAAGTCTTTAAGGTTAGTGTTATCACACGTCTCATGGAAAATTATCTAACGTGTTTGTTCAATGTTTCAGGTTAATGATCTATGCATCTGCCTTATATAACAAAAATATTAAGGACTTACCATGGCTGACACTTCAAATATTATCGCTTTTGCCACTACCACTGTTGTCATCCCATCACACATGACGACCATCACATATGCAAAAACTTTACCCAATGTTTCCAAAGTTGAAGTCTTTTTTGGCCAAAATTTTCAACAATGACAAGAGCGTATCCATTCCATACTAGACATGCACGAAGTCTCTTACACTTTTACTGTTCCGAAGCTAGATTCCACTACCTTAGTGTGAAAATTAGATGATTGGTCTCAAGCCAACAAGGTTTATTGTCATACTATTCTTAGTACTTTATTTAACGATCTTTTTGATGTGTACTAATCCTACAAGGAAGCCAAAGATATATAAGACTCTATGATGATGAAGTACACTGCGAAAGACACTGTTAGACAGTGCTTCATCATCATTAACTACTATCAATGGGAAATGACTGAAGAAAAAGATATTAAAGTGCAAATAAATGAATACCACAAACTACTAGAGGACCTTAAATTGGAAAACCTCTCTCTTCCTGATGAGTTCATTTTGAAGTTGCTTATTGAAAAATTACTAGAAAATTGGACTAACTACAAGCAGCACCTAAAGCATAGGCATAAACAAATGTCACTCACAAATCTGATCACCCACATCATAATAGAGGATGCAAGGAGTGTATTGTGGCAAAGGTGAAATCATTGGCAGCAACGACAAACATGGTACAAGTGTAAGACCAACCTAATAAAAAAAGGTATGATCAAAAGAAAAATAAGTATAATTTTAAGAACTCTTACCTTCATGCTACTAACCCCACCTATAAGAAAAAGGGCAATTGCTTTGCTTGTGGAAAGTTAGGGCATCATGCACCTTAGTGTCATTTTTGAGCATCTAGAAACAACAACCCTCCTAAGGCTAAGGTTAACCTGGCTAAAGGGGACAATGTAATTACTACAGTCATTTCTCAAGAAAATATTGTGACCAATGTGAGCAAATGGGTGATAGACTCTGGGGTTACTCGCCACATATG